ATTTTTTAAATGTTGCTTCTAGTGTTTGAATTACTCCTACAATTTGTAATTTACTTACCTTGACTCCTTATTTCCTTTTTTGTTGCGCTTAAAAAATTCCTCGGCCGAAATTATTTCGGCCTATGTTTTATTAAATTGCATGTAGTCCTTAAACAGGGGCACAACAGCGGTTCGCCGTGATGAGCTGTACAGCTCTTGTGTTGGTCCTTTCCCCGTGGATAATTGTTCTAATTGGGGAGCGGTGGTGAAGTGGTTACGTCTCCGCCTCTCAATCGAAAGGTCGGATGTTCGAGGCCCACCATGATCCGTGCTCGTTGCTCGAGGGTGAAGCAATATTACCCAGCCCAAAAAAAAACCCCAAAAAATGCATGTAGTTCTTAAACAGGGGCACAACAGCGGTTCGCCGTGATGAGCTGTACAGCTCTTGTGTTGGTCCTTTCCCCGTGAATAATTGTTCTAATTGGGGAGCGGTGGTGAAGTGGTTACGTCTCCGCCTCTCAATCGAAAGGTCGGATGTTCGAGGCCCACCATGATCCGTGCTCGTTGCTCGAGGGTGAAGCAATATTACCCAGCCCAAAAAAAAAACCCAAAAAATGCATGTAGTTCTTAAACAGGGGCACAACAGCGTTTCGCCGTGATGAGCTGTACAGCTCTCGTGTTGGTCCTTTCCCCCGTGGATAAGTTGTCTTAATCTTATCGGCTTAATGACTTAATTTTGGGCCGCTTCTAGGCGAACACAATTTTAAGACTGCCCTCCCTACATTTCAAGTTGATTGTATGTTTACCAGTTGGTTTGTTCAAGTTTCATTTTTTCATCATGGGAAAATATTTCGAAATTTATTTAGTTTCTTTTTACTTGACCCCTCTGTCTACAGCCTTCGAAAAAGGCTTGGCCCATATTTTTGATTTGTTGTTATTCGCTTTCCCATTAACTAGACCTCTCAAATCTGATTTTTGGTTTCAATAAAAGGAATGGTTTTGGAAAGCTCCCTGCATGAGCGGCTACGCCCAAATTTCTTTAACACATAAAGCTGAGGCCCTCGCAATAGTCAAGTTTTAGATTTTTGACCGTTTTGTGAACCTATTTGACTTTCTCGAAAACCAATCTCTCAAAGCTGATATTGTGGGTTCCCTAGAGATAACGGGTTCCCTAGAGATAACGGGTAGGTTCGATTAAAAGAACGAGTTGTGGGAAGCTCATTTACTTATGCGCCTACTCCCAAATTTTTTGACACCAAACTTAATGGCCATCGAAAAAGTCAAAATGTTGATTTTTTTTAAAGTTTCTGAATCTTCTCGAGAACTACTCTCCTAAATTTGAGATTTCGGGTCCACTCGAAAATACAGGTTTATCGAATCCCTTCTGCATAAGCGGCCACGCCCTATTTTTAACACAAAAACCTATGATTCTCTGAAATGTCAAATTTTTGGTTTGCTGACCATTTTTTGGACTATTCTTGCTAATTATCCTTCCAAATCTGATATCATTAATTTAATATGAACAACAGGTCGTTGAAAGCCTAAATTTGTAACTGGCTATGCCCAGTTTGTTTAGGAAAAAAGTTATGGCCTTCAAACAAGTCGAAGTTTCAATACTCTGACAGTTGTTTGCAAACTTTTTGACTTTACGCGAAAACTACCGCGAAAACTCCAAACTTTACACCAAATGCTGATGAAAAATTATAAATTTGGAAAAAACTTTAATTGCTTTCTAGATTTTTTTCGAAATTTTTTCTATTTTACTAAAATTTACTCAATCAAATTTGAGATGTAAAGTTCAATTGAAAGAATAAATATCGGTTGCGATAATGATTCCTGCAGAAGCGTACACTGCTTAATTTTTATAATAGAATTAATATCTCCTAGCGAAAGTTGAGTAGAGAAGCAACAAAGGTTTTCTGGACATAGTTCAATTTTTGAAATCACATTTTTTGCCGCTTAAATATAACAACTTCTTTAAATAACTTTAGCAGGGCCTCTAGTTTTTAATCGAGAAATTTTTGGTTCACTTTTTTTTCATCAATTAATTTTTTTTGACTTATGTTTTTTCATGCTTATGTTGTATCGCATGATTAGAAAAAAAATCTAAAAATTGACTCAAAAGAACGAATCCGAAAGAGGGTCAAAGTCCATCTTATATTAAAATTGTTTACCCTTGCGATAAGCAGGGGTATTGCAGGGGTATTGCAATCGGGAATAAGACTTTTTTAAATAACTTTGTTTGCAGAATGGCCAATTTAGTAGGAATAGTAAATATCATTTCTGGCATGCTCAATTTCTTGAAAATTCAAATAAGTTATCATGATTTAAGATGAATTAGGTAAAGCCCCTTTCAGTTTGAATTTTTTCGTGTTCGTTGTTTTCGTCGTCCTAGTTTCTGTCGGTTCATTTTCCGTTTTTTTGAATCGAAATTTTTTATCTGGCAGGTTTTTATTGGCCTGTTTTCCACTTTGAACAGGTTTTTTTTACCATAACTGAAAAGTTGATTAATTTGTAAATTTACCAAGCATGATTTAAGTTTTTTTTTTCATTTTGTCTTTTCTAATATTTAAAAATGTTCCATCTTATCTTATATCAGCCTAGTCAGCTTACTGAATTGAGTAATTTTGACAGTGAATATCTTCTCATGCATTATGTGTTTCAGGACGGATGGTAAGTATAGCCTTTCGAATTTATTTATGACAACAATTGTTTTCAGAAAATTTTTTGACGTCTGTTTTTTTCATTCACTATCATGTAGCGAAATGTATTTTTTGCCTAGTAAATGTTGCGAAGCTCCGCTTCGCCTCAGTGTCTTGTTTGTTTCAGCTACTGTTGACTATTTCATGAAGTCTATATTCAACATCAACCAATAATTGAAAAACAGCAAAACAAAAAATGGAAATGAAGAATAAAGATTACTTTCCAATTCGTTATTACGAGGCCAAATTGTAATTTGAAATTTTAAGCGGATTCCGCAACAGGTCAAAATCATATTTGTCGCAAAATCTGCAACATTGTTACTTTTCTTTGATCTTCTTTGCTGTTTTGCCACAAACAAATAGCTTTGCCACAAACAAATAGCTAAACTTTGGAAATTTGCTGAAATAAACGAAGTTGGGGAATTCGCAACAGTATTCGCAGAATCCGGAACAGTTTGTGGAATACACAAACAAATAATAAGATAGGTGTATAAAAAAAATTGAGCTGTCGGCAAATTTTAGATGGAATATGCAAATTGTAAGGGGAATCCGCATTGTGTTTGCGGATTCCAGTTACATATATAGTAGCGTTTTAAATGAAATCTTGTATTACCCATTGGCCAACAGTGAGTTTAATCTGAATTACTGCGTACAGTTAAGCTACCCTCAAACGTTCAATCTCAATTCCTGTCAACTTACTTCGAACTTCGATCTCAATTCCTGCCCACAATTTACCCCCAACTGCAATCTCAATTACTGCTACCTGAACAAAATCAAGTAAGCTAATTCACCGATCTCAGTTCCGGACAACTCAACAAACTGAAGTAAACTAATTCATCGATCTAAGTTCCTACCAACCTCTCACAATGGGACCTCTCCATCAATAAACCTCTCACCCCCTATAAACCATTTGAATTCACTCTCATCTCATATACTGATGATTTGAAATCGCTCCGAACTCAGATTGTTTTTAATTGTTCATATGTAAGAACGGGTTTGGTTCCGTTTAATAAACAAAATTGACACATCTACTTACAATTTGCGGAATCCGCTTTTATTTTGTTATTGCGCTAACAAATTTAGCGTATTCCACTTACACTTGTGGAATCTACTTACCTTTTGCGGAATCCGCTCGGAGTTGCGGAATCAAAAACAACAAGCCGTATTCGTTTGCTGAGGAATCCGCGACAAATCAAATGTGCCGACCAAATTTAAGTTATAGATAATAGTACGCGGAAACCACCGAAGTTTTGTCAGTGGGAGCCACATACATCTTGGAACATGTTTAAAAACTTGTCTCTGGTTTTCAGAGGCCTACAGACAATCAATTGCGCGCCTATCCATTCCAAAGGTTGAGCATTATTTAAGCTTTGATTATGTCTCATTCTAGCTGTTTTTACCTAAATTTTTCACTTTTTACTGAAGACTTAGTTAAAAGTGAAGACTAAGTTAGACAATTTTGTTAAAAGGAAGGCAAGCTCCACTATTGAAGAAGGAAAATGTAAAGGTCACCAAAAACGTGATCGACTTCTAATTTTTGGCGGCATGCTTTCTTATGCATGGATTCTTATGAAGAAAAATGAAGCATCCACCATTTTAGACTGTCTTTTTAACATGTATAGATGCAGGTACTTTAGATTCAAGGTTTTGTACAATTTCAGTTCATATTATAATTTTTATGGTTTGGATTCAAAGGTTTTGTGGGCGCTCTTGGTTTTGATTCATCTTATGTCGATTTAGTTGCCTCGTAACAGTTTCTTGTTTAAAGGGTGTAACTATGTTTTGATGAGCTTTTTTGCTTCGGGGTATGCGATAACTTGGAGCTAAAATCTTTTTATGCCACTTTTTTTCAGGTCAGCTGTCTACCCAAGCTATGTCTGCCTAATAACTGCGGGCTATATTTGGTTCCAGTTCTAATTTAACGCTGTTTATTGCGAACATAACAAAGGGGCGAAATTATTTTGACAAACGTCGCAAAATAAATTTGAAAATAATTTCGCCTCTTTGTATACATTTTCCTATTTTGAACAATTCCCGTTTTTAATAATTCGGTTATAAGGTTACGGCTTATTTTATATCGGCTTAGTCGCTTTCTAATGCTTCGTTTGAACGGTGAAAATAGGTTTATGAGTGTGTTTTCTTAGAAGAGGGATTAAAAAACTTAATTGTTTGAAAAAATTTTGGCTCAGTTCCGAGTAGACAAAGTTCTTGATTTTTCCGAGCAATTTTTTTCTACTTTTTTGTCGGCTTGCGTGCCATGCCTCTTTTGTGATCAATTTCGCCCGTGTAAGTTTCTTAACCAAATTGAATTTCAGATGAAGGTTGATGGCTCTGTTTGGTAAGGGCTCTGTGACAGTATCAACAACGCCTGTTCCCATCACCCCTGATTTGACAGTATTGTGTAGTGAGTGAACATTAATTTGATTTGTAGCTGTTCTGAAGACTACTAAAGTCTTCGTTTTATGGCAACTTTTGTTTCCTTTTTTATTTATCAAAGCTAGTCTCTTTTTTTTTACAAAATGCGTACTCGAGTTTTTTTTTCATGAAGATGGTAGATGCATAGGTTATTTGTAGAATGGAAGCACGGCAATCAATGGTATCTAATTATTAGCACTTTCGCATTTTGGAAGTAATAAGATTTCAATTGCATATCTTGTAACTGATGTCTGCGAAACAGCTTGAGCATTTATTTTTTATTTAGGCAAAGTGACGAACCCACAAGCTGAAACTGAAAACCCAAACGACATCAGAGAGTTCTGTGACGCTGTTAATCAAACTATTGATGGGTAAGAGCTAATGAGTTAAACTGAAATATGAACCTACGATTAGCAGGTTAACTTATTCTTTTTAGCATTCCTAACCAATAGCAATAGCGGTAAATTGCCAAGTTGTAAGAATTGCTGTAACGTGTACACGGGATGGAAAAGTCATTAAATATTAATTTATTTGATTTCTGATCCGTTGGTTTTGAAGAAAGCACGCAAGCAAAAGACGTCAAGTTTATTGTTCCGATCACGTCACGAAGACACTATGGCGTAGATTGAATTTATCCGCTCGACTTTGACTACCTCAAAAAAGTTAGTTGGGGTCAAATCAGGGGCGGATTTGGGGAGGGGGTTGGTTTTTGGTGGCGGACGCCTCCTCTCTGGGATTCGGCCCCCTCATCAACCAAGGGGTCTCCCCTGTGGGGTTATTTCATTACATTCATTTTCAACCGACCAAATCTAATTTTTTTCTAAAGGTGCCTTATACTGATTTTGGCACGTCGAGAAACGCGATTTTTTGGTCAACATTTCCGAAGTTTTTTTTTTCAAAATTTATCTGCGGCGCAAACGTTTTTTCGTCGAAATAGGCGTTCAGGGAGACCTTGGGCGCCCGAAAAATCAGTTTGGTTGACCTAAAAAAAAAGGTCGACAACATTTTCAATTTTTTAAAATCTTATGGGGTTCAGGGAGCCCTTGGGCGCTCGGAAAATTAGTTTGGTTGACCTAAAAAAAGGTCGACAACATTTTCAATTTTTAAAAATCTTATGGCGTTCAGGGAGCCCTTGGGCGCTCGGAAAATCAGTTTGGTTGACCTAAAAAAAGGTCGACAACATTTTCAATTTTTTTTAAAATCCCCCATCTCTCGAGAAACTATGCGCAGTCCTTGCGAATCGGAACCGCAATGTTCAACTATGATATAACATTTGACCTTCAAATATTAACTCATAGTTGAATATAGTTCAGCCGCGATTCGGTTTCCATTAAAAAAAGTTTCCCCAATTTCGGGAAAAATTGGGTCTGAGTTTTCACAAATTTTGTTGACAATGAAATGAAATTTGATAACGATTAATTTTATACTATTGCGAGTCTCACGTTAGTTTGATATAATTATCATTCAACCTTTCATTGTTTTAATTCAAATTAAGGCGCTTTTAAATAAAACACAGCAAATGAATAAAAATGGGATTTTTTTAAAGAAAAAATTTTTAATTCATGTTATTACTACTATTTTCCTCTTTTTCGATATGCTTCATATAATCATTGTAGAAGGGACGTCCTGTGCTGCTTGTCAGCAACTGGGTATTCTTTTGAACTGGGTATGTAAATGAAGCTATACACTTTTTGGATGAGTTGGCTTTCTGAAAATAACAGTGATTGCACCCAAGGAGGGATGGGGGGACGCTTCCTCCGCTCAGGAATTCGAACACCTGCCAACACAAAGGGTCCGCCCTTTGTACTATTTTGAGATATCCACTTTTGGCTGACTGACCCTAAAGTTTTTCTAAAGGCGCCCTTGGTGCAAATATATACTAATTTTTGAAGAATAGTGCCTCAAAACGCTTTTTTGGCGTTTTTCAAAATGTTGCCTACGGTGCAGAAAATTTGGTCAAAATTGGATCTTTTTGGTGATTTGGGAGAGCTCAGAAAACCAATTGGATCGAACTAAAAAAAAAGGTCGACAAAATTTTTTGAAAATCCGCGCCCCTCGAGAAAATCCTAGATCCGCCCCTGAGTGGCACCGACGAGGGACCGAAAAGTTTTGCCTCTGTCGAAATAATTTCTCGAAGTTTTTTTTAGTTTTCATTTGTGGAACTAAAAGCTTGTTTACTCCATCGATTTTTAAATAGTTTTTGTTTTGATATTTTAAAAGTTATATAGCATGGTTAATGTTTAGACCTCAGAGAGTTGTACGGATAGTTGTGCCTAAAATCCAATCTCTGAATGAACGGGAAGCTCTTTACACATTAAATGTGAGTGCATTAACATCACAATAAGATTATTCAAGTTCTGTTTCTAATGAAAGTTATTTATTTTCAGTTGATCGATGCCTGTGTCCAAAGCTGTGGAATTGCGTTCCACGCTGAAATCGGAAAGTTTAGATTCCTGAATGAAATCATCAAACTTTTATCTCCCAAGGTTGGTAATTTGAACTTATTCATTAAATTGTTTCATTTAACCAAAAACAGATGGAGAGCAGTAACGCCAAAAATTCGTAAATTTTTTATCATTCGATTATTTAATCACATGAACTGAAGACTCCGGTTTGAAATAAATTAATTGACCGTTTTTGCAAAGTAATAAATTAGATTATGATGGGCTGGGCAGTTTTGAACTTACGGAAAGTAATTATTACCTAATTGGGTTTTTGATATGGTTAATTACGTTTGTTTTTCGAATTCTCAGGTCGAAGTGTTACTCGTTTTTGTATTGTCAGTTCGGGTTGCCACTCGGTTGAAAATTTCTGATGTCGAATTGTCAGTTTGTTTTTATTTCAGTACTTGGGAGCTACCACACCTGAACGAGTGAAGAAAAGGTCAATTGAGCTCCTCTACGGATGGTCGAGGGGTCTGACGCATGAACCCAAAATTAAAGAGGCGTACGAGATGCTGAAACAACAAGGTATATATAGTCCATAGTTTGAGTTGTTCGACTACGAAGTCTTACAATGCATGATTGTGTTCCTGCAACGAAACCTAGGCCATCAATTGGTCACATTTGGGGCTGAAAAGTGTCTGAAGTTCTCCTTTTTTGTTCAGGTCTGATCACATCGGATCCAACATATGTAGATCATCAGTACGAGTTTAGCAGTCCAAAAGAAACGAAAGAGAAAGTCAAGAATCCGATCTTTGAAGACGACGAGAAAAATAAGGTGAGCTATTTTGAAAGCTCGGTATTGTTAAAAAAGACGTATTGATAAAAAATCATGTTTCCAAAACTATAATTTTGTTTTAGCTGCTGACAAAATTGCTGCAAAGTAAAAACAAAGATGATTTGGAGGCCGCCAACAGACTTATTAAAACAATGGTCAAAGAGGTATCTGCTATGTATTAACTTGTAAAAAATCAGTTTTCATCTAAACAAATCATAACCAGATTAATTGAATGATTGCTATTTTTATATTAAGGACGAGGAGAAGCTGTATCATTGTTTTCTTTATTTTTAGGACGAGGAGAAGCTGCAAAAGCAGTACAAGAGGACAGAGGAGCTGGATACCATACACAATAACATTCGACTGATGAATGACATGCTCAACAACTACTCGAAAACATCTTCAGATGCAGACATCGATCTCATGAAGGTAATTCGGAAATTTTGGAATAGAAATATGAACTCGGAGTACGCAAAATTAGGTGGCTTAGGCAGGTTAATATCTCATTTCGGATTGTACGCGGGTAGAAACAAAATGCCGGTTAATTGACTTGATGGGAAAATATAGGTCATCAAACAAATCTTCATTGTAAAAATGAACACCTTTTGCTTGTTACCACTCGGATTTCGTAATGGTTGGTTGAGATTAAGAACGAACGGATTGATATAGTATTTATATATTGTGCTTTTTGTTCCAATCACTCTCGTAGACAGTGGAGTAACGATGCCGTATGTGTTTTTATAGACAATTTTGACTGATTAAAGAAGTATTACGTGAAATTTCAAATTAGACCTTGATCGTAATTCGGAAATTGAAAAAGCTTCAAGAGGCAATTATTACACTTGCGATAGCGAGTGTCTTGCAACCGGGTACTAGGCTTTTTGTCGCTTGAAAAAGACTCAAAATGTTTTGATTGCAGATTGAATCCTAAACACAGCCGAATTTTTGCTAATTCGAAGCCTATTTCTATTTTTATCTTATTTCACTTTAAAAAGCTGCTTTTTTGTCATGTTCTCGCAAGTGTTTGCGCCTCTGTGTGAAAATTGAAATGTTTTTTTTTTTCAATTTTACCGCTTCCGGTTTAGCTTTTGTCGGCTTAGTTTCCGATTTTATCACATGCCAACTAGATTATTCAGTTGAATGTTATTTTAATAGATTTGAATGCTGAAGTAGATTTGAATGCTGGAGTAGTTTTGAATGCTGAAGTAGATTTTGAATGTAAACTTCATCAAAAATCATATTGTTTTTTTAATTTAACAGTGTGTCGCCAGTTTTTCGGCTTAAATGCTCACCGTTTTTGTCATTATAAACGCAAGTGAACAAACTTAGTGTTTTGGCATGACTCTACTTGTTTCTTGTTCCAACCTAACTCGCAAATAGAGGTGCTCATTTGGTTGCACTTTTGCCATAATCACGATCTGTAGCATTGGAAATTTCATAGCATCTATTCTCTGTTTATTTGTGGCTTGTGTTCGCCGACAGTCAAGCGGCCTTGCCTCAGAGGGAAGGAAGTGAGATTCCTTAGCTACTTGTCGGAAGTTCAACGCAGCGCAACTTTTTTGATTTTTGGTGGCATTGTTGCTGCATAGCATTGGCAATTTATTAGCTTCTAAAGCTGCATTATTTGGTAGCTAGTGGGCAAGCTTTCCATTGCCTGCGGCTCAGATGTTAAATTCCATATCTCGAAGTTGCATGTGCTAATCCGACACAGGAAATTCTATGCTTATTTCTACCTTCTCTCATTTCGGTTTTTAGAGCTGCTCTTTTGTCGTTTTCTCTCTTTTGTTTGCGAAGTGCACCTCCACTTTTGTCTTTAATTTTATTTTCATAAAATTAATTGCGTGGAGTTTTCTTAGAAAATTGTCTCTATAATTCATCCAATTTAGTTACGTTTTCGATGATTCCCTGTTTTCTCAATATTTTCTTATTGTAATTTTTTGGTGGCACCCTTCAATCAATGACATTCAATCAATAATAATGTAAGAAATTTGATGCATTTTTAAATCCTCAACTAAACCGAAAAAAGCTAGTTGTTTCACACAACAACAATCATAACTCAATTTCAGACATTTTCTAACTCAATATATCTCGCAATATTTGAAATGCGAAATTTATACATATTGTGGCCTTATGCTTTCCCATTAACTGCATGCAGAGTTAATGTGTTGCTTTCAGTTTGTTATATTCCTAATTTTTAAATGCGATATTGCGTCTGTTTGGTGCAAATTTTGCTGCATCGCATTGGCAATTTATTAGCAAATGCAGCTGCTCTTATTTGTGACTTATGTTTGCCGATTGTTAAGCGTCCGTGGCCAACAAGGCAGGGCTGTGAGACTCTAAATCCCGAAGTCGTTGGTTTGAATAAGATACGTGACAAATTTTTAAGTTCATCGAGGCTTATTTCTTTTTTTATTCTTTCTGTAAAGCTATGTTTATCGTGTTCTCGCTAGTGTGCGCGAAGCGCAGCTTCGCCTCTGTGTAGAAATTCAATCTTTTTTTATCTGTGCTGAGAATTTTTTCGCTTGTGTGCGTGTCTGTAGTGTGTGGAGATGGAAAACCATTTTTTCTATCTGATGATTAACAATCTGCTTCAAATATTTTTTTATGGTAATCTTTCAATCTTCTTTTCAATTTTTTTTCTGATTGTTGATCAATAACTTCATAAAATGTGGCGCTTTGTTGGCTTGTAAATTGGTTTTTGAATTATTGACATTTTCGATTTGCATTTTTTGATTAATTTTCTAGTTTTTTTGTCCTTTTTTTCAAAATTCATGGCTCATTGAAAATTTTCCAACTCTGTTGTCTGTTTTCTTTTTTGTTTCAAACAATAATATTTTCAGATTGAATCACGGCGAAAAAGGTTCATTTATCTTGATTGATTTTGATGGATATTGGTGGATTTATGAGCTTGGTCTTATGTAATTTTTTTGCTTGTGCCTTTTGATGCTTTTCTCAGCCCTTTTTTGTCAATTTTTTCCTGATACGCCTGCTGTTATGCATTTCGGAAGCCTGAAATGATTTCAAGTCTTAAATCACTTTTTTCAGATTTTTTTTACAAATCTGTTATCTTGGCTTTTCTACAAATCTGTTATCTTAGGTTTTTGTCTTAGTTCAACTTTTATGTTAATAATTTTCATTCATTTAATTGATCAAATTCGAGCGTTTAATTCCAAATGATACCCATTCTGATAGTGAACTAAAAATCTCCAGAATTATTATCAGAACCCGCTAAAAATTACTTGAACGTCGATGCCTACATGAAAAGAATAGAGTGACTTTCAATTCAGATGAAACACAATTTTTATAGTTAACTATAAAAATAGTCGTTTTTCATGAGAATCACGAAATAAAAGTTTTGAAAGCATGCATTTATCTAGGATTTTTTCGGAACAATATTTAAGGTTTTCAGTACAAGCTAACTAAATTCTATGGAAAATGGCATTAGGAATCGGTTCACACTATGTTGTAAGGAAAGTAGTGCCCTTAAATGTTTGGTTTAGCTTATTCAAATATTTGATAATATCCATTTTACATAAAGCGCAGTTTTCTCAAAAAACTCTCAATTTTACAATTGAACAGAAGGAATAGAAAAATAAACTGGGAGTCAAAGTCTATTTTTTACGTCAAAAATTGATAGAGCACCAGGTTTACTATTAAAATTCAAAATACTTCCAGCATAGCTATTGATAACGAAAATGAATATTCTGAAATCTTTCGGTGGCTTAAATCAAAGATCAGTAAATATTTTCTGTCTACAGAAAACTTAGCTGCACATAACGAAGAGAGCAGTACAGATAATACCCCAGAGTTGTTCGAACAACAAAAAAGGGAAAGAATCAGCTGCAAGAGGATTCATTAAGAAATGTAATTTACTACTGAAAGAAATTTAAAATCTCGCAAGAAATTTAAAGAAAAATAAAGACATACCTTCTACAGAAACATGAATCAGTACCCAGTACCAATTGACAGATCACTCGGAGGAATCAGAAATTACTGCTACTAATATATATATTTTTTCTTCGTGAGCTATTTAATTAATAATTAATTAATTGGTGTCATGTGCAGTTTAATTTATGTAGTTGAGTGTTTGTAAATACAATCATTCCTAGACATGTTTTATTCACCTAGAGGTTATATGAAATTAACCTGTTTTGTTGAAAAAAAATGATATCGAAGTGTTTTTATAAAAATGGCTTTTTTCACGTCTTAACGGTTTTCATTCAATGAATTTACTGCGATATAAACGTGTAAAAATTTGATTTGGGTGAGTTTTTTTTTTGTGATTTTGTTTCTTTCTGACTTTAGCTTTTGTGTCCTTTGACATGTTTGTGTTGCATCGCAAATGTTGCGGAGCTCTGCTTTGCCTCTGGGTATAATATTAACTTTTTAAGTCAACGAAGATTTTCCTGATCTATGACAGTCACAAATTAGCATGTTTCATAATTGGAAGTTCGTTATAGGAACTGAAGGAAAGTTTGGTGAAGTTTCGTCCACGAGTGTTCCAGTTGGCAGCTGAAACTGATGAAAACGACGAATCCATTGGTTAGATAGCTTCGAAGCATTCATGTAAAGTGTTGGACCTTTAGTTCAGATCGACTGATTGACTGGGGACCGGCCTACTAGCGTTCGTGCCGCTTAGCATGCGGGTATTAGTGCTATTAGAACTGAGTTTGTTTACTCAGCTTCGCTACCGAAACTTAAACTGATGCATGCCGCTTCAGAGTGAGTAATTACTATAATTAAGCATGCTAAGCGGCACGCATGCAAGTCGATACATCACCGTATTTAAATGCTCTGAAGACTATTTTTTTCACTTGAATATGTTATTTAAAAAAAAAAACTCATTAAATTCGATAAAAAGCTCATCTGAATTAGAATGTAAATTCATGCTGATTAATTTTTGTAATTGTTTATTTGCTTGAAATTTGCAGGTGACATTTTGCTGGCAAGTGACGAGTTGTCCTCTCTGTTGGAAAGATACAACAGTACAGTTGGGAACAGTCACTACATTCCTCCAGACAAACCTTTGTCAGGTACCACAAGTAAAAAAACAACCTGTTAACACAAAATTTATAACCCCGCCACAGTCGTATTTTGGTTTTATGAGGAAGTATAATTTGATGATTTGCTGGGGGCTATAGTTTGCTGGCTGTAATATGCTTGAGAGGACTTAAATTTTCTGTGGGCGGCTATTATAGAAAAGGCAGAATTTTGATTCTTCAAATGAAATGCTCTAAAAAAATTTTGCTCTAAACGCTCAAATGAACTTGAAGAAATGTTCCAAATAGCCACACTATAAAATGAAAACAATACGTGATCTCCCAAAATCATCACTTCGAGTATTTGCGGAATAGTAGTGAATTGGCTAAGTGCAAAGTTGAGTTCAGGTGACTTTTTGAGTCCACCGTAATCTCAAAAAAAGTTATAGTAACTCGGGCTCTGATGTTGTTGGCCTTATTTACCACTCCTATGAGTTGGATCTTGTTCTTTGGAATGCTTAAGTCAGTGTTTTTATCCTATATTCTGGCTATAATCTGATATGTTATTTCAGACGATTTGAACTCAGTTGGTGCTGCAGTTGGTCTCTTAGATTTACACTCTCTAGATCCTCTAGCCGATCCCCTGCTGGCACAACTGGGACTGGCTTCCTCAGTTGAGAAGGGCTCTGCTGCCGCAGCTGCGGACACAAATCCGTTTGCAATGTTCGAATCGCTGGGAACTCCTAATTCAACTTCACTAGTAAGATACTTAAGATGAAAAACTCGTTTAGTTTTTATAGTAATTTTATAGTAAACGATATTGACAAGACATTCTGCAATTTCAAGTCAGAGTGCAATAATGCCAGTTGCAAAACAATGTGTTACATCATCTTTTTCTAAACTATTGTGTTTGTTTTTTTTTTCGCGTGGGCTTATCTTAGCTTTTAATGCAATTGTAAAGTTTCTTGAATGTTTAGAGTGTAAATTTGTCAACATCACCGTTCAATTCTACGGCGCAGTCGAGAAAGCCAACAACAGGTGGTGCTGATTTGATAGGGCATACAAACCCTTTTGCAATAAACTCTAACCCTAGTTCACAAAATCCGTCCGCATCGCCACAGCACCGACTGCACGCAGTATCATCGGGAGTCGCACCGCCGCCTCTTCCAAATAGACCCAATAGTCAAAGTCAAGAAGGTAATATTTGAATAGTGTTTTGGTCATTAAGTTATACCATCTTGTTCAATTTGTTTTTCTGACCAATTAAAACTAATTGTGTTACTATGCGGTGGTCTGCTTCTTCTGGATTACCTTCGGCTTTGATGCTAAAATGCTCTAAAAGGATGATGTAATAAGACCCACGCCTACGACCTGAACATTTAGGAGTAAATTCGAATCCCTATCAATATCAGATTTGTTTTTTAGAGGTTTGTGAGGACTGCGGACTTTTTTTTAATCTCTCCGAGTAAACTTTCTAGAACTGAATGGTTGAAAATATATGGAGCATTTCAGGCTCAATGTCTGTCAAATGTATATATTTTTGGTTGTAATCTTCCATAGGGTCAAATATAATTGAGAGCTGACTATATCACACACTTTTGAAAGTTTCGGAACGGTCTTTATTAGCAGGCACGCCAGATCTGTCCAAAAACGCATCAAAGAGGCCACAAGCGTCAGGCATGACTAAGAGCGGCAGTGGCTCTGGTGCATTTGGAGAACTGGACTCACTGGCTAAAAATTGGCTGACTGGGGGTGCAAGTGGGGACAAGGTGGACAGTACACAGCAGAGGTAAAAAAAAGGAAACACGGATTAGTTCTTGCATTGAATGAATCTTGATGAACTTAGTTATCAAGTGTTAATGAACGAAGTGAATATCGCGTATTTATGATTTGTTTTTTTTTTAAGAGTAATGAACGTAGTGAAGACTCTTATATGATTTTTTTTCAGGAAAAGTCTCTAATAACTACGATGTGCATTTATACATATTGATGCATTTATGAATGCACTTAGGTATATATGCTCTTTTTGAGTTCAATTGAAATTCATCTGCTGGAAGGGATGCAAATAGCACTCTCCAAATAGAAAAGTGGAAATGGTGCAAAAAAAACGTGAACGGTATAGGTCTTGCTGATTTTTTTTTTCAGGAAAAGTCTCTAATAACTACGATGTGCATTCATACATATTGATGCATTTATGAATGCACTTAGGTATATATGCTCTTTTTGAGTTCAATTGAAATTCATCTGCTGGAAGGGATGCAAATAGCACTCTCCAAATAGAAAAGTGGAAATGGTGCAAAAAAACGTGAACGGGTTCTAGTTTCGAAAGTGGAATTTAATTTTGAGATTTCCAGCGGAATAAAAACTTTACCTACTGACCTTTTCTCTAGCTAGGTTCATGTTATCAAAAAAACGCCAATCAAAAGTTGTCGTAGAAATTCAAAGAGTTTAAAGGGCATCTATTTTTTCTTTGAAATTCGAAAGTTTGAGACTTTTCCAACTGCCATTTTTCCGCTATGTTTTCCGGCTATGGTCGGCCTTTTCTTCTTCGAAATTCAAAAGTCAGTTTTTTATGTTAACTTGTGTTCATTGCTCTTTTCCTATCTTCGATTGACTATGTTTTCATTTTCAGAAAATTTTATGCTCAGGATTAGCGAGCCTAATCAAATCGGAACATAGACCCTTTTTCAGATTCACAACTTTGTCCAATAGAATCATTGACTCCGCTAACAGTGAACGTGCTTATTAGCATGCTCTAGAAAATTTAATTTAAACTACTGGTTGCTATTGCAGTGTAGTTGTGATAGTGCAGTGCTCTTTACATGAGCGTACCGTAGTATAATTAGTACGATGCAACTTTTTTCCAACCTAAGTTGAAAGTAAAGTGCAACTTCTGGTGGCACTTTTGAATTTGTAGACTGCATTAGCATGATAAAACTATGGGTTTTGACATTGATTAGTAATAAGTTAACAGAGATGATGCTCTTTTAATTTATCAATTGAACCGAAAAAGACTCTTTGTTTCATACAACAGTATAATTATTAAAATTCCATTCCAAAAATTTTCCAACTCAGTATACTTCGCTAGATTTGGTTCAATTTATCATAATTCAGTACAAGCAAAGTTAGTGTGGTTGCCTTTAGTTTATTACATTCCATATTGTTACTAACAAAGTTAACGTTTTGCTTTTTAAAGATCCCGTATCTTTTGCCGCTTTATCGCTCGTATTAGCGAAGTGCAACTTCACCTCTCTGTATAAATTTGGTTTAGTTGTTATCAATGACGAGTTTAGTTCTGAATTCATTGGCGAGAAAAATTATTTTAAATCCAGTTTTCAATGGAATGGGATAGCTTTCAGAAAAAAAGTACCAATCCTAAGTGTTTCCTTCCGCTTGAGATTTGCAAGCTTTTTCAAATAAGAATCTAGATTTTTTCGGGTATACAACTAGTTTAACAAAATCAATTGAATCACCCGATGATGCTGCTATGGTGACATGCTCATTTTCATGAAAGTTCAAATTTAACTTCAAGTTAAATTGAAAATTCAAATTCAGTTTTCCGCTTCGTAAGTTTTGTTCAAGACTAATTTGAATTTAAAATGTCGCGTTGTGCATGTTTGCCTAGAGTTCCTGTTGATAAAAACAGGTATTATGAAAGTCTATGTGATTTGGTTTTTGTATTTTTTTTGAGGCGCTTTGGAAAATTTTATCCGTTTTTTTGCAAAAAGAATTTTTTTTTCAAAAACACTACCGATTTTCAAAAAAGAGTTATTCATAGAAACACCTCTATAAATTTTTATGGGCCTGCTTACTCCACTGCGCTCTTTTTGTTTTGCCTATTTGTCTACAGTCTTCGTAAAAGTCTGGGCGAATATTTGACCGATATTTTTTTTTGTTTTCTCAAAAACTAGCCTACCAAATATGAGATTTTTGTTTAAATGAATAGAACGGATTTGAAAAAATCCCCGGCGTTAGCGGCTATGCCCACAATTTTTTCAGACAAAACTTATGGCCCTCGGAATAGCCCAATGTTTGATTTTTTTTAAACAGTTTTTTGAATATTTTTTCAATTTTATTGAAAACTAGCCTCCCAAACCTGAGGTTGTGGGTTCAATGGGGAGATAATTAGTTTGAAGCTCCTCTGAATTAGCGGCCACTCTCAATGTCTTAAGACAAAAAGTTTTCGACCTCGGTAAAGTCAATTTTTGTGTGAAATTGAAAGAGCTTTAACGTGATACTTTTTTTGTTTCAAAATACGAAAATTGTTAACAAATTTTCAGTTTTTTTTTTCGTTTTCCTGGATTCTTTTCAATCATCTGTTGGCTATGTTTTTCAGAGTCGATGAAAGTAGTTCTTCGAATCGATGAATGTAGAAAAAAAACTATCAGGAAGTTCTGAAATGTTCAGGCTCAAATTTACTTTTTCGGTCTGGCTTATGTTTTCATTTTAAATTCACTTCATTTCCTTCATTAAAAAGGAGTCAAACTCCACTATCGAACAGCGACAGGGTAAAGGTTACGAAAAACGAGATCAAATCCCAATTTCGAAAATGGACTGTAATTATCAGATTACCCAGTGAAATGAAAAAATTTTCTTTTGATCTTGTTTTCTCAAATTGGGATTATTTTTTATCAAAAAAGAGTCAATTGTAAATTTTTTCTAGAAATTCAAAAAGCTTAAGGCCATCTACTTTTTCGAAATTTGAAAGTTGATTTTTTTTTCAAAAAAAAACTGTTTTTTTTCTTTTAATTGCATGCATTGACTCTTTTCCAACTCGGTCTGACTTATGTTTTCATTTTAAATTCACTTCGTTTCCTTTATTAAAAAGGAGTCAAACTCCACTATCGAACAGCAACAGTGTAAAGATTACGGAAAACGTGATCAAATTCTTATATCGAAAATGGACTGTAATTATCAGATTTCCCAGTGAACTAAAAATTATCTATTGATCTTGTTTTCTCAAATTGGGATATTTTATCAAAAAGAGTCGATTGTAAATTTTTTCTAGAAATTCAAAAAGCTTAAGGCTATCTACTTTTTCGAAATTTGAAACTTGATTTTTTTCAAAAAAAAAACAGTATTTTTATTATTTGCATTCCTTGACTCTTTTCCAACTGTCTGTTGGCTCTGCTAAAATAAGATTCAAATGAAGTCTGATTGACTTTCCACATAATACTGCAATCAATCTCTTTTTCTGGGTTACCCTTGCTTGAAAAATTCATGACAATATAATTAGGAGGTTCCTTTGCCAATCAAACTGTCACACTAGGTAGATTTAGCATACTGAAGTGATTGATTTGAAAATATTGTATAAATTGGTAGCATGACTTTGAGCTATTGCATTTTAGTCGTTTTAAACTAACTTCTGCCCTTCAGAAAAAGGCCATGAACTGCTATGAAACCTTTTTGCAATTTTTCATGACATAACGTTTTGGCCGATCGACTTTTAAAAGCCTTTCGGAAAAACGGCATTTAATATATTTTTTAGAAGTTTGTGGCGAACATTTATAGTTTGAGGGATGCCAAAAATACAAAGTTTAAATGTAGCCCTTTAATCCCTTTTCTTGTAAAACCTATATTTGCTTTTGGTTTTAATTCTTTCCCTCCTTTGGTTTTTTAATTCTTTCCCTCCTTTGGTTTTGATGATGAAATGCTATTTCCTCAAGACTATTTGAAACGAATTTTGCGGTTACAAGTTGAACTAAAATATGCAAATGCGTGCAAGAGAATACTTTAAAAGTTTTTTTAACTTGCAAATAGCCGATTGTGTAAATTTTGACAGCTCCGTATTTAAGCTAGAGGATTGGAAACTGGAAAAGAGCACAACTCTGTTTTTAGCTCGAACTTGAACGACATACCTGATGTGCCTCTGATCCAAGAGATGGTATCTCCACTTATTGACACATCGCCCGCAAAGACGACTTCCCATCCGACCGAGACAACTCCAAAAGCATCACGCTCAAGGACACACAGAGAAGACTTTACAATTTATTCCATCAAACCATGTTAGTAACATATTCATATTCGTCAATTGTTATGCATAGTTTTGCCTGAATTAATGAGTATTTTTAGAACAAGCCTGTGTCGCAATAATTAATTAAAAGCGAGTACAAGCGATGGTCATTTGTTTTTATTCTTGTTTTTATTGAAACAATGAATGAGATAATTTGGAATCATTGGGTTCGATAGGTTTGAGCTGCATTTCTGTTATTTTGTTTCAGCTCCCACCTTGAAGCCAATGTCTCTTATAAGTGATTCCGATATCGGCATTTCGATCACCGCCAATTTCACTCAATTTGCTAAACCTTCAATAGAAACAGAACAGTCCAAAGGACTCTCAGATATAGTTGTTCTCACAATTTCTAACACAAGTTCCTCGAACTACTCGAAAGTGGGGCTCCAAGTAGCGTGTCCGAAGTCAATGCGAACCCAAGTGGGTGCGCCATCCAGTGATTCGATGCCAGCTCAGACTCCGTTTGCACCTCCGGCTGTGATCAACCAGTGTCTATTTATTTATAACCCTACCAAGGTTAGTCTCCTTGAAAAAAGCCGGCATTGAGTTTCCGTGTGTGAGTTGTACCTTGATAAGCTGTTTAAAACGCCTGGAAACTCTTGGTGACATTAACTTGCTTTGACATTTTTGTGGGAAACTACCGCAAGATATTTTTCTCGATGCTTTGGGACTTGTTAGCTCTGAAAACTAGACTCCCTTATTAAGTGCCAAGACAATTATATAGGTCGTGTTGATTTTTCTCACGTTGTTTTCCAGTAAAAGTCTTGATGTTGTTCACGCTCAAATTTGGTTTATCGCGGTTTGATTTTTCATTTTTTTTCCAGTTCAATTCAAATTAAATTGCTATAAGGAAGGTAAATATGAATCACTTCTCAAATGGATTTTAATTTTGAGGTTTTCCAGCCTAATAATTAAATTTATCGAACTGTCGTTTGGCTAAGTTTTTAACGTTTTTGCAGAGAGCTGTAATTATCATACATCAAGATAAGTTTTGAATTCGATGCAGTCATGACTAATTTAGCTGCTGTTAATAATACAGGAAATAAAATGTAAGTTCAAGCCTGGTAAATTTAGCGTGTGATATTATGTGCAGGTTGTCCCTCGCCTGAAGTTGAAGGTCACTATGACGAAAAAAGGCGAAGGGGAGGAATCTGGAGAAGGGGAGGCGATCAATCGGGTGATCGATTGCAGTCTCGATTGTCTCATCTCAGAAGCAGACTTAGAGTTCTCCGATTTCAGCTAGCCGGAAATTAACAGTGAAATCAATCTTAAACTGAGAAAAAAGTGATTCGAAGCAGTTGTAATGAAGCAAAAAAATGGTCATTTGACGTTGATGTTAAGAGACCGTTTTGTTGTTTTTGGGCAATGTGCGATAAATAAGATTCGAATTAAATATATTTAAGTAGGAGAAAAAACAGAACCGGTAGTGCTTACAAATAATTAAAATCCTAGAAAATGGTCACAAAAATCTGAAATCGTAACAACAGATCGGCCCAATCATGTTCTTCGCACAACATAAAATTGAATATGATTTTATGATGATGACGCATGCGTGCTATTTGTTCTTGTCTTTTCCGTGAACTAATAAATAGTTATCTGGAGTTCAATTGTTTCAGGTGAACTTATATTATCTTTATCAGGTGTCAATGAACAAAGTGAAGACACTATTTATGTCATGAAGTTTTTAGGAAAAGTCAAAATTTTATCACGCGCTAATTTAATGTTTCGCGGTTTTTCATTTGTTAAAAGGAAGGCAAATTACACTCCAATTACGAAAGTCAAAATCACGCTAAGAAACGTGAATGAATTTGAGTGTCGAAAGTGTATTTTAATCTGAAACTTTTCCAGCAGACTTAGAACATTATCTATTCATTCAGTTTTGTCAAATTTGTTATCATAAAAGGTTTTCAAATTCATTTTTTTTCAAAATTCTGAAGTTGAAAAACGTATCTTTATCGGTTTCTTTTTAAGTTCATTGACACTTTTTTCAACTCTCAGTTGGCAGTGTTCCTAAATTTATTGTATAAATTGCATACAAAACTCCATTTTAGTTGAAAATTGTAATTTAAAAAGTTGGGTGGTTAACTACAGATCATGATCGATATTTGACTTATTTAGAATGTTGTAATTATCAGACTATCTATTGTAATAAACTATTTAAATGAGAGTCTAGATCTTTCGGATGAGGTCGATCATTTTAGAGGAAACTCAAGTTACACGCGACTTTAAAACTGGATTATAGACGCATTTTCAATGATGAAACAGAAAGTTTATATTTAACCTTTAAACTCCAAAAGCCGAGAAAAGTTATTATTGAAGATGAAATAATTTATTAGTTATGACAATGCGGCTTTGAATTAACTCAGTCGACATCAGCAAGTAGTGAAATTTTGCTCCGTTGAGCTAATTTTAAATATTAAATGAATCGGACTATTGTTTAAAATTGTTTGTCTCCGATATTTTTTGTTGATTATAAGAGTAGTGAACGTAGTGAATACTCTTATATAGTTCTCGGTGATTTTTGTTTGTCTTTTCGAGGACAAAATCTGAAAATTTGTTCGGGCTCAAATTTCACGGTTTAGGTGCAGTTCATTTCCCTCATTAAAAGGAAGGCAAACTCCACTGTCGAACATCAAAAGTGTATATGTCCCGATTAACGCGATCGACTTCAACGTGGAATTCACTTTTCATCAGGTTTCCCACCAAATTATAAATTTTATTTACTCGTCCAGTTTACTCAAGTTAGGTTAATTTTACCAAAAAATGTGTCAATCATAAATTTTTATAAGAGTAATGAACGTAGTGAAGACTTTTATAGGTCTTGCTGATTTTTGTTTTTTTTTCAGCAAAAAGTTTCAAAATATTGATGCGCTTAGATATATATGCATTTTCTGAGTTCGATTGAAATTAATCTGCAGAAAATGCTGTAAATAGAACTCTCCAAATAGGAACGTGGAAATGGCGCAAGAAAAACGTGAACGATTTCTAGTTTCGAAAGTGGAATTTAATTTTCAGATTTCCAGGGAATAAAAACTTTAACTGTTGATCCAGTTTTCTCAAGTTGGGTCAATGTTATCAAAAAAGCGCTAAGCATGAATCGTTTTAAAAATTTAAAGAGCTTAAAGGTCATCTATTTTTTTCTTTGAATTTCGAAATTTGAGATCTTTTTTCAACAAAGTGTTTCTTTAGTTTACTTGCGTTTATTACTCTTTTCCAATCTTCGATTGCCTATGTTTCAAAATTTCAGAAAACGTTAAGCCACATGTTTTTTCTTTAATATTTGAAGTTTTTTCAAAAGCAAGTAAGTGTTTCTGTGTGTTCATGACTGTCTGTTAGTTATGTTTTTTTTGCACTTTTAAAGAAAATTTTAGGAAATAATTTTGTTTTTCGAAGAAAGCAATGAATGGAGACTTGTCTTGAATTTCTTGCAGTTTTGATTCTATCTTATAGAAGAAGTTACGAATGTATCTAATTGTTATGGGTTTGATCCGTTTTTCTCTTTTTTTTACATTGGAATTTTTTGAAAAAACTACCAGGCAAAAAAATTTCTATGAAATGCGAAAAAAGTTTTTTGCTTTATTTGTTAACTTGTGTTCATTAGCACCAAGGCACACTATCTCGTGACCAAGTGTCAATGGTTCTCAAATATTTGTTTCCGTCTTAAATTGGGGTTGAGGTAAAATTTAAACTGAAAACGAGTTTTTTCAACGCTAAATAGTTTCAAATGTTCAAGGATTTTTCATTGAACTTTTTCAAGAAATTTTTTTCACTTGCAAGCGCAAACGTACTTGTAATTGGTAACCAGGTTTTTTTCCCATGAGCACCTTTTCTGACAAATCTGTTAGAATTACCTGCGGTCATTTTTACCGCTTCACGTTCAGGCTGACGTGCCCAATCTCTTGAAAACTCAATTTTTGAAAAAGATCAATCTTGTAGTTCATGATAAGCAGTAATTACATTTGTAAAGCAACGTTTTTTTCTACGAACTTTCTTTTTTTTTCAACTTTGTCGCAATTTTTGGTGTCGCTTTTGGGGTACCTTCACAGCTTTTTGATAGCATGCGCAAACAGAAAAACGTCTGAGACACTAGAAAAACGACTGAGACACTTGATAAAAATAGATAACATGCAATTTGGTTTTATGGGTAGTAGATTAACTACCTATGCCGTTCTTCTTATTAGACAATTGAAGGAACTGTTTGCGGAAGAGAAAAAAAACCTGCATCACATATTTGTTGACCTCGAAAAAGCCTTCGACCGTGTTCTCTGAGACAACAGAGGCTCTGAGACAACAGAGAGTTCCCGAAAATCTGGTTCAATTAATAATGTGCCTGTACACTGAGTCGAAAACTAGAGTTCGACGGCCCCGTGGATGCAGTGGTTACTTCGAAACAAAAATAGGCGTGTATCAAGGATCAGCCCATTGTTATTTGTAATAGTAATGGAAGAGGCTACAAGAAACTGTCGTTACATGGTACCATGGGATATGCTATATGCAGATGACCTTGTGATATCCGCTGAAACAGAATCCCAGTCTATTGAGAGGTTTAATGCTTGGAACAAGGATTTGTAAAAACGCGGCTGAAAAATCTACGTGGAGAAGACAAAGCATTTGACTTCAGGTCAAAAGTCTATTCCTCAAACAGCCGGAAAATATCCATGAGCTTGTTGTTTGAAGGGAGTCGGCGCCAATTTAATACACCGCAATTCTCGTAATCAAATGGTTCCTAAGAAATGCAGTAGCCTGAGGAAAGCACCTAACGATCATACTAATTATATTTGTTCAAGTTGCAATAATTGTTCCAGTTATCACTCAAATGAGAATGCTACTCTGCCTATTAATCAAATTGAAAACCTGCGTACTGTCAAAGAGTTCTGCTATCTCGGTGATTTGATTTCCGTTTAAAGTGAGGCAATATGTGCATCATCAATCAGAATGTCAGCTTTCTAGACGAAATGGCGGCAATTTGCGCCTCAGCTGCTGAATGAAGATATTGATTTGATTACAAGGTTTCATATCTACGGAGCTTGTCTGCGGTAAATTCTGATGTACTGCTCTGGCAGCTTGGAGCAGACCAAAGCAATACCCAGCTTTCTTAAAAGTGTTGATTTGAAAGCTCTGCATAGGATTACCGGAGTCACTTATAAAGACAGTTACCAACGAAGCAATAAGTAAAACGGCAAGTCTTGTTGATCTGGACAAGCTACAAGTGCGTTCGCGACTACAATTATTTGACCATGTTTACCAGAGAGAAATTGATCATGAGCTAAAATTAACCGGCCATGTTTCAGTCCCAGGGAAAAGACCAGCAGGAAGGCTCAAGAAACGCTGGACCGATTGTGTAGAACGAGACTTGAGTAGTTTAGGCCTCAGTTCCTCATACTGCTTTGATCAAATGGCATCAAAAAACGTGTTATAGTAATAGTGCTTTGACATTTGATTAGTAAAAAGTTAACTTAGCAGATGCATTTTTAGTTCATCAAATGAATCGAAAACAGTTATTTGTTTCAAACAGCAGTACAATGATAAAAAGATAGCTTTCAGATATTTTACAACTCAAATTATCTCGCAATTTTTTTTGAATTGCATAATTTATACATCATGTGGCATATGCTTTTCAGTTTTTTACATGTAAAATTGTGTCTTTTTGTTTTTGGTTCTAGTTTTGCTGCATCGAATTGGCAGTTCCTAAGCATATATAGCTGCGTTATTGCTGGCTAGTTTCGGTAACCTGAAGAATCCGCGGCTGAGTGGTTAGTGCGTGAAACTCAAATTTTCTAGGTCGCAGATTCGAATCCGACACGTAGCCGAGTGTTTGCTAATTCGAGATTTTTTCTACTTTTTGTTTTTTACTTGATAGGGCTGCTTTTTGGTCGTGTTCTCGCAAGTTTTTTTTTCAAATTAACTTATTTATAAAAAGCTGAAATTTTTGTGGGTTGTTGTTTTTGTCCTAATTTCCTTCAGATACTTTTCCATTTTTTGTAAATGCTTATTCTGTATCTGATAAATATTTAGCAGATTACTTTGTAAAGCATCTAAGTTATATGTCAGCACAGTCAATTTTTTTTTTGAAAAATTTTGGAGGCAATTTTTTTGTTTACATCTTAGTTTCAGATAATTTTTTTCACGCTTTTGATCAGCAAGCGTAATCAAACTAGAAAATAGGTTTTTCGGGTTAACAACTTCTTGGTTTATATGAAATCAGAGCATGGCGCTTAATGTAACGCAACTGCCTGCAAGAACGATAATTAATGATTCGGAGCAGTAGATTTTCTCAGTAGAGTTTTGATTAATCAGAAGGGTTACATAATGGCTAAGTTAACCCTATTTTTGAAAAACCCTTATTCAAAAAATATGAAACATGTTGCTGTTGTAACAATAAATTTTTACGCTACATTTTAAGCAAAACCTTACGTCACATGTGGTGCAAAGATGCGCTTCTCTTCTTGGCTATGACAACATTTTTTTAAGCTTAGCAGGGGTTGATTCTGTTTTTTTTTCCTCAGTTGTCTCTGGTTATTTCTTTTTTAAGGCTTTTTAATGACATTTGTGATTACACCCGATTATGAGTTTTTCGAATTGCAGTTTCAATTGCGAAGCTCCGCTTTGCTTCTGTGTAAAAAAAGTTTACCCTTTTTGCTAGCTCACAAGTGTTTAGTTATCAACCTTGATTTTTGTTGATACTCCTTAATTTGTTTTACTTAACGCAATTTTGTAGTCAAGCGTATCAAAATTGTAATGAAGCCAAACGAAATACATTTTAAAAAATTCAACTGTTATTTTGAACAGTTATCCACCAATATAACTGCTAAATAGCTGCAGTTAAAATAGTTACTCTTGCGAGAGTAAGT